CACTTGATATTGGTCAAACACTCGGCTAAATTTAGTGATTAAATTTCAAAACTTCTGGAGTAAGGAAGGAGTAACTGCTTCATGATTTATTTAAGGAGTTCCTATGTCAGGTTGGTTATTCATTGCAGCTTCTCAAATAAAAAAAATGATTTGATCAGATTAGAATTTAATATCTAATATATTTAATATCCTCTGTAACGCCCATATGATTTCCCACACAATACTGCTGAGCAATAAAAACAAAACGCAGGGTAAACACTGTCTGATCCAGCTGAGGGAAAATGCTGCACATGACTGTTTTTCCCCCTCCGCTTGATTGGAAAAGACTGATCTTTTGACTTCCACCCTTACCACTGCGCTTTGTGTTAGGTGTCTGCTAATTTACCATCTTTCATCATGTGCTTTTGTTCTGCCATATGTTCACACAATATGATTATCACATATCATTGTCATTAGGTAATGTAGGAAACAGTATAATGTATCAATTATAGCGAGGCAGATGTGATAATGCATTACTTCAGTTTCAGGCTTAATCTCGGGCTCCTGCTTGATTAAGCATCTCTCTTCTATATGTCTGAGTGAGTGCATGCATGTGCGCAGGTGTGCATGTATAGTTTTGATATCATCATTCCAGTCTGTGCTTCTTTATTTTACTTTCATCATCCTTTTCCCTGTACCTCTGCTCTTCTCCCATGCTGTGTTTAAGGGATGAACATTAATTAGAGACTAAAGATGGCATCTCTAATTTTATCAGCAGCTATCTTGCCATCACGGAACCTACAAATGAACCTCTTAAACCCAATGCACGACAGTGTGTTTGCGTGTCTGCGTTTTTTCACAGTGTTGACGAGATGCTGTTGGTATTCTCCGTGCTCTTCCTCTCTCTTCCTCTAATCAACATTAGAAAAAAAGAGCAGCAGACAGTACACTGATTGCCTCAGGGTAAACACCAGCACAGTGGTCTGCTGATAAGGCTGGCGGCCAGCAAAGGCCTCACTCTGTCCTGAGAGAGAATGTCATGGCAGCGCTGAGCACAGACCAAAGGACTCCAGCGTAAAAGATAACTCACCAGTGGATTAATTTGCCTTGCAGACTAAAGAGCAAAAAAGATTGAAGATGTAGCTGGTATCTGAAAACATGACCACCTGCTCTGTGAGAGTAACTGCTGACATGGGAACTAATGTGTAGTTAATACAACATCTTTTCCCGTTCATAGTAGCACACCTTGAATGTGTGTATTCTTATGTATTGCTTTTTATATTCAATAGGTAGTGGATTTTGGATTGAAGCCAAAGGTCATTTGGATTGTAACGCAGGGATTGAGCTGTCAGTCATACAAACTACTTCCATGTCTTTGTCATGTTTGTCCCTGGCATTTTTTCAGCAAGTTGAAAATGGTTCCACTTCTGTCAGTTTGTACAAATGTGAAGGTTTCTGTGTGTCAGCGTCTAGCATTGTGTTTACTGGCCACAAATGGGCTGGCAGCAGGGTCTCAGGTCTCCCCCTCCTCACTTCTCTCTGCCAGCCACAGCACAGTGGTCATTTCCAGCACTCCCATCCACTGTGAATAGAAGTAATCACAGCCATGTTTTACGCCCATATGGCAGGCAGTCAGCCTTTCAAATCACATTGCAACATCACTCAACAGTCATTTAATGAGAGCTTGACTGCGCAGCGCTGCATTAAAGCTCCAAGTTCATTCTTATCCTCTGAAAAATATTCAACCTGGGTCTTTATCACTCAACTGGTTTTATGACACCATCTGTATGTAGAGAAGCATAATAACTATCATTGCCCGCTGCTTACACTGAGTCTGTCCATCAGACTCCCAGTCCAAACCTTACCACCTAAACTTCACTATTTCTGTATGAGGTCATAAATGGAAAGGAAGGTTAGAGTTTGATTAAAATAGATTTTTATATTTTTTATTGTAATGTAATATCAAAAGATACCGCCTTTCAAAATCAAACAGAAAAGGGTTTTGTGAAGGCTAAATTGGATATAAACAAAGGTGCACCTGGCAGACCAGGCAAATGTTTGGGACCCCAGAGGGCAAAAGGGCCCCCCTCCTATTGGCACATTGTGCAATGTTGACATAGTGTGCACAGCTGGTTTTGAGGTAACTTACATCAGTGACATCACGACACGATGAATTTCACACTAATTGGTGATAGGCCTTGGTTGTCTTTCTCAGACATGCTGGTCATATTAAGAGCTATTAGTAGCATTTCTGGTGAGTGTCTCTCTGGTGACTCTCCCCTGCACCTGCTCGCTCTGTTTAACATTCATGAATAGTTCAAACCTCCAGCATCTGGCCATGCGCCTCTCTATGAGACACAAACACACACACACACACACACACACACACACACACACACACACACTAGGGATCTACACTGGTAGTTTAGTTCAGTTTTGAGTCTCAAAATATATTTTTGGCTGGAACGCAACAGCAGGACCAGCCATATAATTGCAAATGCCTGTGACTGACTGACTGAGTGGGTGATTGTTGTTGAGTGATCATATTTCTACCATAGGTTAGGTGAGTTTAAGTTTCCCTATTGGTTGTTGCTCTTTCAAAATGAATTGGCGGCAACAGTTTCTATTAAGGGGGCATTTACAACCTGCGCTGTTGCCAGCTAGCTAGATTTAGAGACTAACAAGACTAGGAATAAACTCAGCCGAGGGCTACACCTCCTGTTACAGGCAGTCACCTTGTGGTCCTGTTTTTACGGCTGTTCAGCAGCAGCAGGTAGAGGTACTAGGTGCCACCTCCTATCTTGAGAAATAAGGGATGCCACTCCCCATGAGATTTTACATTCTACATGTGCAGGACCAAACTATAATTTGATTCCATTAGACTAATGAAGACTAAGTATTTGGTTCACATAGTGCACCAGCCAGATACTGTACTGAATGGTGATACATGCTACTCAGGATTTGCCTCTCATGATGGCGTTAGTGTGAATAAGAGACAATCATAGTCTCTCCCTCCTTGCAACACCTCCCTCTCTTATATTATGTGTAATTCACAGGAGTCCTGGCTAACAATTCAAACAAATGACATTAATGAAAGCAGAGAGACGAGTATGTCTGTCACTGGTTGAAACTCCATTAAAATGAATTTACTGGGAATATATGGGCAGTTACAATAAATCTTTCCTCTGCAAAATGAAAAGTAATAGCTCTTATTTTCCAGCTCCAGTCACCAGAGTTTGGAGGAATTGCAGGAAGACAGAGTGCAGGAGACTAGACTAAAATGGAGAGTCAAGGCTTTAACTAGTGCAAGTGTACTTGAGAAATGCTAAGTGAAAGAGTATTCATATTAAGTGAGGTGATAATGGTCTGAGTGAGGTTCTTTAAAGCACTGTCTTCACAGTGTAGTTTGTTTTTATGTTGTTTACTGAGTGTAGTTTGACTGTTTCCCACTGTAAACATCAGTTGGTAGTAACTTTAGAACAAGACCCCCTCGAGGGCCCTATTACCTCAACATTTGAATTGTCAAGATGAAGGAACAAAGCCTTATTTGTGTTTGGTTAACAGAGTGGGAGAGCTTCTTCACTATCTGTATTTGATGTGTAAAGAGAGTAGCATCGTGTAGTTTATTAATAGGCATAGTGTCTATTTATAATGAAGCTGTAATTTGTTGCCGTTATACATCAAATTTAGACTGGTTTCTTTGATTATCTTTTCTTTAGTTCTCATTAGTTAAGTCATATTTTGGTGATTTATTTGGCTTTGCTTTGTGGCGGTACTTCACACCAAGGAGAGGAGTTGCTAAATTGAGGATTTACAAGTAAATCCCAGCAATTAATGTGATTTGCATTTTACTTCTCAAGTAAATGCTTTTTTAAACGTAATTGTGAAAAGTGTTGTTGCTGGTAAGTTCAAAGACTACAAATAATTGCTTTTGGGTGGACAATTTAGGTTTGATTTTGACTGCAGTGTTTCAGTTTCAAAGAGAATCCTTAAACTTACCAACATGAGATCATCAAGGAGCAGCATTAAATGCCCTGAAAGGGGTAAGTTTGTACATTTGGATTACATGAAAACATTTAAATATAGGCAAGCATTTGTTATGAGTTTGAAATGACTCTCTTTTAGTTTGTCATCTTGGTAAAAAAATCCATTATGTTGGTTTACTGTACATACTGTAGGTGTATGAGCACCATGCTGCACTGTTAGCAATTTGATCCGTGTTTGTGTTGCAGTGCAAGTGGCACGGTAAAAAGTTCTTCTTACCTTATTAACATGTAGGTTTGAGCTTCATTCTGACTGCATTATTGCCTTGATGTCTTTACCTGAACAGTTTACCTGTGGCTGGGTATTTTCATTCCATTCCTTCCAACACCCTGACCAGTTTTTATTCAACAAAGAGTTAGTAGTAGGTTTCTAACATTGGTGAATAAATCAACACTTCAAGTAGCACTTCAAAACTTAAATTGCTTGAATACAGAAATGATGAATATGGGATTATATGTTGTTATATGTTGTACATTGCATTTAGTATTTGTTTTTATTTTGTAGTGTTTGAATCTAACTACCCAGAAATGACTGTATTACTGTGCCAGTGTAAAAAAAAAAAAAAGACATTGTGACAACAGTATGATCAAGCACAAACACATCTCAACAAGTTTATTGGCCCTCAAATTGACTTTGTTATCTGAGAATCTGCAAAAATAAAAAGTAATTTCATTTATTACTTGACTTTTTCTTTGTACTAATGAAGTGATGCACCTTATTTTCACCTTGTTCCATTTCAGAACTTTGATACTAATTTCTAAAGAAGTACGAACAACATGATTCTGAACATTCAGTAGAAGAAGGTTTAAGACTAGAATGAAACTAAATGATTTTTTGACACTGCATTTAGGTTATTATCATCCACTGTCTCTTTTATCCTTCACTCTTCTCCTGTCCTCTATTTTCCCTGTTATTGTGTCAAGTGTTGTGCTGGTTAATTCTGATTGATGAGTAATTGTTTTGGGATGTTGTTGCAGTGGGTACCAGTGCTGTCAGATTTCCAGCGGAGGGAAACAGTTTGGAGCTTTGTGCCAGGGACACCCAGCCAACCCCTGGCTCTTCACCTCGGGGACTACAACCTGGACGGCTTCCCTGATGCCCTGGTTGTCCTCCGCAACAGCAGCGGCAGGTAGGGGGAAAAATACACACACTCTCACCTAAGCTCCACAGGAGTCTTCAAATGGGGTCATGTTTGTTGGTGTGGTGTCTTGAAGAAAAAGTACTTGTGTAAGGGCGACATTTGTAGATAATGTTTTTGTTATTATCGTAATCATTTTGGACTATACTCATACACAAGTGTTGGTGTTCCTCTAAGACCCTTATTTAAGATAATGTCTAGTAAATAAATGAGATATTGCTGAATTTAAACTAATCCTTATTTGGCAAATGATCCCCTGGAATCCAGTCAAGTAGGTCTCTGAACCCCACTCCAACTAATCATTTCAGCACTATGCCTCACTTGATGAGCCATCGCTGCAGAGGCACACGGTGTCAGCATGTGCAGGTCCAGGGCCTGCACATGTAGCACACAGTGACATACAAACAGGATTTGCATTGTTATTACTCCAGTTTCAGGAAACTAATAATCACAGATTTCATGCAAATCCATGTTCTCTCAATTCTCACAAACACTTGCTTCATTTTGTAACCTACATTTGAGTTTGTCACGTAACATTACCCATTTTGATGAGATTATACTAACTATAGTATTCCCGCAGAAACACAAAATTGAATTGATCGGAACCTAATAACTCAAGATGCATACTTAAATGGCTTATGCAAATCTGTTTAGCTTTCAACACTAGGAATGTTTATTTTTTTCAAAGATGGCACATGGGGGATGAATTTACTCATTAAATTACTGTGAAATTACTGTACTTGCAATGACACGTTCTCATGCTGGGGAAAAAAAAATGGTCTCCATTACAAACAGTTGCCCCATTGATATACTGACTGGGCAGTAATAAAACAAAGTAGCATAAAGAAATATAATGATTTAAAAGAATACATCCTATTTGGCCTACACATGTTAATGCTGATACACACAAAATAATTTGACTTGTATCATGTGTTTAAAAATAATCCTTGAAGAACAACTCTCATCCTCATACTGACGGAATAGCAGTAGTTTTCAAAGGTAGATTAATTAAATCTTCTCATTAATAAATCATAAGATATTAGCTGAGGCATAAATTAGACATAAATTAATGTGATTGCTGACAGTTTGACATTAATGACACTGTCCTTAGCTGCAGAATATGTAGATTTAAAATGATTTGCACTGGGCAGTCAGAATCTGTGACATTGTAGTATAATAAAGAAGAGATTACCATCCAGTCTGCTAGAGCACTGACTGGGAGAGAAGACAGCTAAGGTGAGTGTGTTCTTCAGTTTACAGACATGACAACTGATAAGCCAGCCCTTTAAAAATCATTACAGCATGTGCCAGGACATAAGCACCATGGACACTTGGAAATATGTGTGTGTGTGTGTGTGTGTGTTTTTGTGTGTTTTTGTGTGTGTTGGAGGACCTGTGTGGATTATCTGGCCCCAGAGATGAAGATAAGATATCTGAAAGGGTCAGGGCTGTGACTGTCTATGCATACTGATTGTTGCATGTGTGTGTGCGTGCGTGCGTGCGTGCGTGCGTGCGTGCGTGCGTGCGTGCGTGCGTGCGTGCGTGTACGCGTGCGTCTTCTTTAGAGTGTCTGAGTGCTTGTTCTGTCAGAAATAGTAAGTGTTGATGAACAGCTTCAAAAGACTTACACACACACATACACACATACATACATTTGAACCATGCTCTCTTCTCCAGGCTCAATAATCACTAGTAAGTCGGTAAGGCTTAACTCTTTGTGGTCACCCTCATCTAGAAATGACTTCTGTCTCACCAGCTCTAATCATACAAGCTATAGCTTCTCTCTTTATTCCCTCCCTTTCCTCCATTTGCTTCTCATTTTAAGCCTGAGCATTGTAATCCTGTACTTGGCCATGGTTATTGCGGAACTCCTTCCGCATAAAAACTGACTCCAGTAGTAACATTTAAAATCACATCATCAGCATATGTAGGAAGGAGGAGGATGGAGGGAGAAGGAATGGAGAGATGAAAGGAGGTCAGGGTGATGGGAAAGAAGGATGGTTTAAAGGTCAGAGCAGTCTCTTTAGATGCTTTCTGTTTTGAATCCCTGAAGCAGTACATCTAGACCTCTTAACTACCACCGATGTGCACCAGAGCAACGTACGTACCCTCCAAATGGTATCAGCGGTTTGACTGGGAACTTCTTTGTTGTGCTCCTACAAGTCAATGTATAAGGTCATGGTCATGCCGATGTGCATTGCTTCTTTTTAGTGAACGCACAAGGTTTCAGAGGTCATGTTTGAGTGATGAGATGTGCTTGTTTTTGTTTTTGTTAAGACATTTCATTAAATGCCTCTTGTCGACTTTGGATTCAGCAGCGCTCTGCAGTCCGTCCTGCAGTGGGCTTCATTTTGTCTTTGATTTCCTTCTAACCACATGCTCTCTGCTTACCAAATATTTGTGCAGCCCATAGCTGGTTTACTTTAAGTCCCATTCCCTCTCCATCCCTCTCCTTCTTTCACTCTCTCCTCCATCTCCTCTCCTTCGTCCTTCCAACTGGTTATTTATAGCTCCCTTTCAGATAAAAGTCCTGCTAGACTGTGTCACTCCTCCTCCCAGCAAAACAAATGCCTTTTTAAGTATTCAAAATAGGAAGACGAAAGGAGAGAGGGTGTGAGATGAGAGTAATCGGGTGGAATCAGTGGAACAATGAACAGATGGAGGGAGCAGAAGGAATAAATAGAGAGTTGGGAGGTCATTTAGAGCTGGGATAGGCTGAAGTCTAGAAAGAAAAAGAAAAAAAAAAGACACCAGAATTTGAAAATACAGCCACCCTCCCGCAGCTCTCGCGGGCACATGTATGTGCTTCATACACGCACGCAACACAACTCAGACAAAGCAAAGAGCCTTTGGCTATGATTAGCAGAAGGCTAAACTATTAGCAACATTAAACGCAGCTACTCGTTGCCTGCTTTCATGGTAAATCTATCTACACAACCATCCACTACAACACATTTGATATTACAGGAAAATGGAGTTAGCGTTAGAAGTACAAGTTTTCTCCATCTCTAAAACGCTGCACCGATTCTGACGCGTATCTATCTCAAGGGACATGGACATTGATGAGTGCCCACCCCAGCTTTAAGAACACGTGAAGTCATATTCTAATACAGCTCCATTTTCAAAGGCACAGCTTTGGCAAAACTAGTGATTTGGTTGTATTACCTCAGAAGGAAATATCTGTATTTTGATTGCCCTACTTGTTTTCCTTCTTACTGTACAAGATCTTACAACTGCTTGAAGGTCATATATGCACTGGGCTGCCTTTTTTTGAAGGTGTAACAATATACTACATACAGCAGCTTCAGAAGGTTTTTCAGACACCTTGACCTTTTTGCACGTTATGTTATACATCTGATTTTAAATGGATATAATTGCCATTGATACATCAGGGAAAGGGTATAAAACTGTTTCTAAAGCTTTGAGTGTTCAGGTGCACAATGACCTCAATAATTGTGAAACGGAAGAAGTTTGCAACCCCAGGACTCTTCCTAGATTTGGGCATCCGGCCATACTGAGCAGCTGGGCAAGAAGGGCCTTGGTCACGGAGGTGACCAAGAACCCACCAGTCACTCTAACAGAGCATCAGAAGTCCTCTGTAGAGAAGGGAGAACCTGCTGGGTCGACCACCTCAGCAGCACTCCATCAATCAGGCCTTTATCATAGAGCAGCTAGATGGACAGCCCGCTTGGACTTTGCAAAGCGCCATTTAAAGGACTCAGAGCTTGATGCAAAAGATTCTCTGGTGTAATGAGACAAGAATTCAACTTTCTAAGCAGAATAAACTGTCTGCAAACTAGAGACACTGCTCATCAACCGGCTAAAAGAAATCCCTGCAGTGAAGCATGTTTGTGGCAGCATCATGCTGTGGGGGGCTTCTCAGCTGCAGGGAGACTGGTCACAATTGAGTAACTGATAAATGCAGCCAAATACAGAGAGGCTCCAGAGTGCACTCGACCTGAGAGTGGGGCGATGGTTCACCTTTCAGCACGACAGTGACCTGAAGCACACAGCCAAGACAACATGGAGTGTCTCTGACAAGTCTCTGACTGCCCTTGAGTGGCCCAGCCAAAGCCCAGACTTAAGCCCCATAATTTCAGGTGCCAACATAAGTTAGAGATAAAGACAGTGTATCCAGTAGATGATGGAGGGACCCACCTGTCCTAAAGTAAAAGAGTCACATGTTCATGGCTCTTCAGTTGCCTGTCATTCTGCAGTGTTCTCCGTCTTTGAAAGTTGCTTGTGTCAGTTTTGTCGTATAGATTATCAGTTTTCTTTGGAGCGTGTGTACTAAAGTTGCAATTTCAGTTGACTGAAGTTGAAGTTTAAATTGCTGAAAGTGGTGCATAGGTTGTTACCGCCACTCATATTACCCAGTTTAATTGCCATTGTTGTGGTGTAACTGTACTGCAGGCATACTCACTGTAGGATGTTGTCAGTCAGCAACAGGCAGTAGCACTATAGATATAGAATGAATCTGAAGTGACTTGAAACTATAAAGCTGCTACACTGTTCTTGTAAAAACAGTCTGCTTAATAGTCACATTAGGAGGATATTTACGGCTGTTTGGAAACAGTCCTTAGGAACTGCAGGACAGATGTAGGGCGTGTGTGTGTGTGTGTCTTGTGTCCATGTGTATTTATGTGTTCATATTTGTGTTGTGTGTGATGTCCATCGACAGCTTCTAAAACTACACTCCTCAGGGTCCACATTATATCCAGGTCACAGGACAGACGGCGCCTCCAGACACTCTCTCTGTCTCTCTCTTGCTCGGTTTCGCACACACATGCTCACACAGGCGAACATTGTTAAATCACAACAAAGAATATAAGGCTGTTGCTCCCTGCTGGAACGAGACCCTATAGGTGTTTCCGTGTATGCAGATAAACAAGCATTTGGGATCTTGAGGAGACGAGCGGTGACACAGTGAAAGTGAAAGAGATACAGACTTGGAAAGAGAATGGCAGTGTGAAGCATCAGTGCGAGAAGCC